ATATTCATATTTTTCAAATAAAATTCAAATGTCATACACTACTACAGCATCAAAACTTAGAAATCCTTTCTTTTTCCTTCCCTTTATTAAATTTTCAATCTTTATGGCCAAAGACTCATCATTCATAGTCCATAGATGCAAACGGTAAGTGACAAAATAAGAAAGATCGTCAAGTCAATACCCACTTTTTCACTGGCGCCAATATTCGAATTTTCAGGAAAATGGCCATTTAATTTATTCAGAGGAGCAAAAAACCATTAGATCAGCCTTCATAGAAGAGAATCAACTGGCACATCTTTCAGGCCTTATGACATCAGTCAAAGGGGTTGATTTTTTTCATGTGAAAAAAAGAGCACCCAAAGTAACCCAAAATCGAAAATTCTATCTTGCCTCTTAAATAATTGGCCAATATCGTTGTATTATTCGTTCTATGTTCCTGCCATTTTTTAGTTTTTTATCTTATTTTATTTTATCTTACAGTTAGTCAATAATATTTTGAGTCATATTTTGTCAATAAATATTCAAATTTTAAAATTGAAATTTGTATTTTAAAAAATAATATAAATAAAATACATTCATAATTTTATGTTTTTAATATTACAAATATATGATTGATCGACCTTTATGTTAGGTGCTTTCTCAAAAAAATTTATGATATGATATATGTTAAATAGTAATTGTGCCACGGATATCCTTCGTCGCTCATTTGGATGAAAACTTTGGAAACGGGCATATTTCAGCCTAAACAATTCCATGTTTTTCCCATTTTATTTCGAGGTGGACCATTTTATTTCTTGTTGTTGGCTGACATTTAGGTATTTGTACCTGGCAAAGATTTTTCTGACTGATAATTAGGGATGAAAACGGAAACGGTAAATTTCGATTACCGAGAATCGTTTTCGAAATTTTTTCGGATTTGGAGGCTAAATGGAAACGGTAACGGTAACCGGAAAAACGGAAATGAAAACGGTAAAAAAATTCGAAAATGAAAACGAAAACGATTTAGCCCTTTTCCGATCGTTTTCGAAAATTACCGTATTTAAACGGTATTTTACCGTCGGTAATACTGGCCCAACTCATACTAGGCTCACTTTTAATTATAAAGCCCAATCCAAATCCCAAATGGGCCAAATGCCCAAATCCCCTTCAGCCCAACCCTGTGCCCAAATCCTGAAATCCCCTTCACCCCTTTCGGTCTTCACTCTCGTGGATTTCAATTTGGATTTTGCCACTATTATGCCGTGAGAATATTTCAATTTATGTTTTAATGCTATATTTTATAATGTGGTGTGTTTATCGTTTTTTAAATACCGTTTTAATATATTTCGATCGTTATCGATGTATTTTCGATCGGATAGTTTCGTTTTCGATATTACCGGAATACCGATGTCGTTTTCGTTTCCGACATTATCGTATCATTTTCGTTTTCGAGAAAAAAATATGAAAGTGGAAATGGTTGAGCCCTATGCCGATCGTTCCCGATCGTTTTCATCCCTACTGATAATAATCATGATATGTCGCGGGCTATTGGAACACAAAATCTCTTTGATTAAACCAGAAGTAAAATTGAAAACTGATTGGTTTTTAGTTAAAGAAGGATGATGATTGTGAAATTAATGGTAAACGTACTTAAGTTGGTCTCAATTGAACATCAACAGTGGTGTCAATGTGTATACTTTGAAATGGTCATCAACATATCCAACACTCCCTTATCATTTCGTTGTAGTATCCTATGCCACGCATTTGGACTTCACAAGCCACAAATATGGTTTTGTTACAAATCCTACAAAAACAGTTTTTCCTCTGTAACAGTTGTAATTCTATTAAGCATTTTTAACCATTACACAAACATGCCTTATCAACAAATTTTCTAACTTTGGTACCAAAATGTTGAGTCCAGCTATTCGAACTTTTGCTTGTTTAATAAACAAGCTGATTGGGCTCCTACCCATTTAATAAACAAACAAAAAATTGGCTCCTTTAACAAATAAACAAAAAGCTAAGTGCAAGTTCAACGGGTTTAATAAATACAAAATAACATTATATCATTTGCTAGCGAACACGAACTTTTCACTCTCAAACAAGTTCTATATATTCAGTTGTTTCATTCGAGACTCATTATAAATAAACGAATTGATCACATACAACAAGCTTGAAGTTTCTATTTGATAAGCGAACTTGATGGGCTCTTCGAGCTTGTTTCAATATTGTTTACTTGCACAAATTGAATTTGAAAACAGAATTGTGTTTGCAAACGAGTTCGTCGGATAACATATCTGCTAAATGGCAATGTGAAAAAACATCAAAAATAAAAAATTGAAACAACTATAAAGGAATTAGTGAAATGTGATTTTGCGCAGTTTAGTGTGTCCATGCCCAATTTAAAACAACTACATTTAACTACAGATAGATTTGTGACACGAAAGCCTCATGTTTCTATAAATTTCAGTACCACTGGTAATAAGGATGTATCTTTCAAGGGAAATAGTTGTGGAAAGCGCATACTAAGGAAGATGAAAGCGATTGTAAAAGGCATAATGAATACATATTTTAGATCAATCACTAAGTTCCAATATTCAATTTCTTCGATGCTCTTTCACTCGTTTCAAGAGGGAAAGCTGAAATTCAATCACTTCGCATTCAAGCATGAACAGTCTCTAGAATAATTAGGCAAGCGAAAAATCTCCAGCTGCTCTTTTTGGTGTTTATAAACACAATTTTGGATGACAAAATGGTGTGTATCAAGCTCGAAAAAAAGAATTTTGATCCTTGTTACAACTCACACAGTATTTAAAATAATAATAAACCAATTCAAGAATTAATTTAGAATGCAAATTAGTCCGGTTATAATAAATTTGACGATTGCTATTGATATAGCACATAAGAATAGCTCGGTAAAATCAGATAATATGAGCTCGGTATATGGACCGTAGCTAGCGGTGACGGTGGGTTTGAGGAAAGTTCATCCATACTAGTAGCTCAGACCTTTGAGTAGCTCAGCTAGTGGCAGGGTCTGCGAATGTGGGAAGCTCGATTCAGTGTAGCTCAGCTAGTGGCAGGGCCCGGGAGTGTGGAGAGCTCGACTTAGTGACAAGTTCGTATTAATAGTAGCTCGGCTAGTGGTAGGCATGGGAGTGAGGAGAGCTTAATACAATGGTAGCTCGTATCAGTAGTAACTCGGCTATTGACATGGCTTGGAGATGTGGAGAACTCATCACAGCAGTAAGCTAGGCTGAGGGTCGAACTAGTGTGACAGTTACACGGTGTCCCACAAGGGACACGTGTAAGGATAATATCAAAAAGGGATAAATGATATGACAGACGAGGAGCGACGCTTACGGGGGAAGCTAATAATTTGATGTAAATAGGTAAACTGATAAGAAGGTAAGGGGAATCATACTCTAAAACCCTAAACACTACATACTGTTACATACAGCTTTCCATAATTCTTTACTGACTTGAGGGTCAGAAGTTTAACGACGGGAGCACCTCTCGGCGTCTTTGCAGATCTCCGAGGAGCAAGCAGTTGAGGATCAGTGGAAGGTCGGTTTGAATTGCAAGAGCACATCATGTATAAAGTTATAATTACAATTAAATTAGAAACGGAAGAATTTAAGTATATATGTTAAAATTAATGCTCATTTTCTAAATAAAATATGCACCTAGATTAATCTAGAATCTCAATTAGAATAATTAAATAAAATCATTCTAGAAAATATCTAGAATCTATATAATTAATTAATAAGGTCATTCTAGAAAATAGATGTAAGGTGGCAAGATGAAAAATCTAGAAGCATGTATGTCTTGTTCACCACCACCTCATTTGTCTATATATATATATATATATATACTCAAACACTTAGAAAGTTGGAATGTGAAAAACAAGTAAGGAATAAGAATTAGCCAATTCAAACTCACTAACCATTTTACTACTCAACCCTCATCATATTCTACTAAATTTAGATACCAACAAAGTACATACCCAATACGAAGTAGTAACAGAAGCAATAAATTTAAACATATTAATAATCTTGACTAAAATTTATTAATGTCAAATATGTATTTAATTCGCAATCTCATCTCTAATACTAATCTCTTCATAGTCACTAATTCCAAGTATGAGTATCACTAAATCCCATCCCTGATACGGTATCACCAGTAATAGAAAGAATGATACTAGTCTCTTCCATCATAGTCAATTTTATAGGCTTGCTGAGAGGACTTGTTAACAGGTAGGAAAAAAAAAAAATATGAATGTTGGAATAATTTTAAATTCTAAGATTTGTTGTGTTGTAATGTACTAACTAAAAATGAATGAGTTATATATCTGGCGAAGGTTATGCGGTATTGGTTAAAATAATATATACAACATTCTTTTTAAATTAAAAGGATGAGCTGGAGAAAAATATTTTTGTGAGTATTATTTATTAATTTTGTTTGAATATGTTAAATTATCATATTTTGTCAAACAAGAACTCTAGAATGACATTTATTCTATAGCTGGTGAAATATATACATATATATCATATATTAAACTAATATACATAATAGAAATATGAAAAGTAAAATTTAATATCAATACTAAAAAATAATTTATACTAGTTATGGCTTGATGCTTTAATTTATATATCATTATTACTACATATACCCAAAAGAGTATCATAAAATTTATTTTATTTTTAAAATTATCAAACAAAACGAATTATTTAGGTTAGGTCAAATTAGGCCTGCAAACGAGCAGCTCGATTTATGAGGCTCGAGCTCGACTCGATAAAAATAAATACAATCGCTCGAGCTTGACTCGATATCAAAATGCTCAATCTCAACTCGAAAAATTTTAAGTGGAAAAATAAAATTACAATTAAACATCTATGTTATATTACTGTATTATTGTAATATATTTATAAGAGTTATTTTAGTAATTCAACACATATCTCGCGACATTCAATAATACAAAATATTGACTCGAGATCGACTCGTTCGTGCTCGAGCCGCTTGAGCTCGCCTCGAGTTCAGTCAAACTCGCGCTCGAGTAGAAGTATAACTCGAGCGCTAGAGCTGCAAACAAATTGAGCATACAACGTAAAACTATAAAATCACCGTGTGAAAAAAGTAGGTTCTCATTTTGTATGCAAACGGGAGATTGAAACCAGAAAAGCCGAACCGGCCAACATCCTTAAACCCTACCACATACCCTGCACTACTGTCACTGTCGGTATAAATATTGCTGTGAACCCTACCTATTCAACACATCCCAAAAGATGGAGACGCTCGCAGCTCGACGCTTCTCGAACGCACCTTTGATCCGGCCGTGCAACCTTGCTACCAAGAACCTTCAACCAATCCATTGCAGAAAGCAGACTCATTTCATACGCAATCATCTCTGCTTTATATCCGGTAATTGTCATTTCTTGTTTTCCCCTTGTTTTCTTTGTACTGGTTGATGGGAATTGCATAGATCTGGAGTTTGATTTCTGAAGGGTCTTTATTTATTTTCATCGNTCTGGTTGAGCTTTGAATTTTCTCATTTTCTGGGGGTGATGTCAAATTTGGGATTTGATGGAATTATGGAACCAGCTGTTTTTCTCTCTCTCAGTGTAGCAATGGGTTCAGATCAAAAGAAGATTTTGGATAATTATCTGCATATCGAATAGATAATTTCAATTGAATCCTGTTTTTACAGGGAAGAATTAATTTCAATTTCAGCTGTAGAAATGCTTATTGCTAATCCATTGTGGTTGTACCTACAGGACTGAGACGCTTCCCCATCTTATCTGTGAGGTCAGCCACCTCTGATGAGACTTCTACAGGTACAACTCCTTATGGAAAAGACAAACTAGAAGCCGATGGTTCGGTTATTGTGGAAGACAATAGCCCTGGTGATAGGAAAGAAGATTATGACATAATTCGACTGCCACAAGAAGGCCCTTTGATTGATATGGAGATATTTAAGTTCATGGAGGATCTTAATATTAAGGTGTTGATCATTAATTCTTTGTGCTTGCTTTGGATAGTATTCCTAATCACATCTTGCATCTTCATTTGATTATATAACGAGAATCTTGATTTTTTAAATTGTCTAATATTGAAATTGAGCTGAATTGGTTTGGGGGTTCTAAATGATAAGATTTGCTATTGTCAATTTTTTTGTTCTCTTCAAGTAGTCGGATGTCTAGATCGTTATTAGGACACCATGAATGTCAAGTTTGGTTGCTGTGATGATTATTTACAACTCTTTGAAGCATATGAATGCTACATGAAACGTCGGCTATCGAGTCGATCTGAGCGGTTACCTGAGCAACCTTATGTTATAATTATTGTATAGATTTGTTTCATTAATACTAATTTATCTTATTTATTTATATTTTGTGGTGTCCATATATATATTTTTATTATGTTTTTCCTCTGGCTCTTAAGTTCCAAAAATGAAATTGCAGTGCATGGAAAAAATGAAGTTTCAGGGGAGTTCCTTACCTTCTTTTGAGTATAAAACGTAATATATTATTTTTAATAAAGGCTTGCCCAATAAATATTGTTTTCTTGTATGTTGAGCATCTTGTTGGAAAGTCGAAGCCTTTTCCTCTGTGAAGCCTATAATCATTTGTTAAAGTAAAAATGCTGATGTTGTCGCTATGAAACTGTATAAATTCTTAAAGAAATGTGAAAACCAGTCAAGGTATATATATATAGTGGTATGTAGCATACTGCCATTTGATTTAAGTGGGTTCTTCAGGCATTTTTGCACTGTTTTCATTAAATATTCATGATTGATTATGAGATTGCAATGTTACTGAATATGTTCAATTTTCAGTTTGACTTTCAGGATACATATTCACTACTTGTTTTTGGTGGTGGCGGTGCTGTTGCACTCTGGTTAGCTACTGCTGTTATTGGTGCCATTGATTCTATACCACTGGTGGGTACTTTTTCTGTTCAAAATTACAAGCATATATATATATTTAAAGGATGCAAGCTATGAACACTGCTTACTAACTGCAAGTTCAATTTGATCAAATTTTAGTTGCCAAAACTGTTGGAACTTATCGGATTTGTCTACACGATCTGGTTCAGCTCTCGATATTTGATTTTCAAGGTTGGCAACCTATATAGTTCTCATTTTGGATTGCTTTGCCTTTTTACCTATGATTCGGTTGATTTTATTATCAATATAATGATTATTGTTATTATTTTCTTGTGGCAGGAAAATAGAGATGAATTGTTTTCCAAAGTAGAACAAATAAAGCAGGAGGTGATTGGTTCAAAGGACTTTAAGTAGTGAATTAGGTTAAGAATTTTTTATCTTAGCTGTTTCGATTTCCAAATTATACATTTCCATGTCCTCTTCTGTTGTGTGATACACACTTCATTAATCCGATACTTCTGTCGAATGAGGCTATGGGAAAATTTGTTGATAGCTTGTTTTGGTGTCATTAATCCGATACTTCTGTCGAATGAGGCTATGGGAAAATTTGTTGATAGCTTGTTTTGGTGTCATTAATCCGATACTTCTGTAGAATGAGGGTATGAGAAAATTATTAGTAGCTTGTTTGGGAAATAGCTTGTTTAGTTGAAAATTTCCATGTACAAAGAATAAGTTTTATTCATATGCACATTTACTTATTTCAATTACATGTGGTTTATAACTATGGTGTCGTACCTAATGTTATGATCTTGATATCAACTAAAGATATAGTTACGTTATGATTTGGACATCATATTTATAAAATATTGTCCCAGTTCATCATATTCCATTAGATTCGGGTGTGAAAATATTATTAACATAAACATAACACCATTATAAATACTAATACCTCCATTCGGGATTATATTTGGAATTAGAGATGTTAAGTAGGTTGAATATGATTTTTTTTTTTTTTTTCAATTTAATGTTTTTCTACTACGTGTTAACCAATTATTTTAGGTCATTCGACCCTCATAACATGGTTATTNCTATGTGAAAGATTTTCCCACTTTTATTTTTATTTTTTTCTAAAAGTAATGATGAAAATATAAAGACTACGCGTTTATTCAGTTCTTCAGCAATACTATTGTTCAGTTTAGAATTGATTTCATCCTTTACCATGCTCGTATTTAGAGTCAATAGAAATGTAGATACTTCTCTTGAAATTCACTAAAAGCAAGATTTACTTCAAACTTTATTCAGCTATTGGCTGTTTGTATTCAACTGGTGGTTGTACTCTTGTACATTTGTGTGGTTTATATATAATACCTCTATCGTCTCGGAAAACAAAATTATTTATAATTAATTGTTCTACCCTTTAGTATTTATTTATACTAGCATTCGACATGTACATTTGCACAGATATAAATAAATTATTGTGAATTATTTATATACATATAATGATTAATGATTTTTCTTGAACTTTTTTGCAGGCCAAATTTACAATTAAAGGAGCTGGAATATTTATTTTTTTAAATTGCGTTTATCATATTGGATGTTATGTATATTTTGATATGTATGTGAATTATTTATTATTTATTTAGAAATTTCAAATACGTTTTTTATTTTCCAAAAAAAAGTTAATTTAAATGTAACCACAACAATAACATCTAATCACGTTAAATAGTAAACATATTATATGGTTAGTTTTAAAGTGATTATTGTGTTGATTATCTAATAATTAAATGAGAGGTTAAATAAATAAAAAATAATAGTTTTTGGAGGAAAACATTTATTGTCACATAGATATAATTTAATAGGTTTTATTAAATGTTCATGAGCAAGTAATTATATATAAATATAGATTTACATTTCAATTACATATTGAAATTATAAAACATTTTATCATTTATTCATTTGTATAAAACGTTTAACCATGCATCGCGCAAACACGTTCACAGGATGTACAAAGGGCAAAACGACCCAATTTGCATGTAATCAACCTTCAAAAACACCAAAATAAATATAAACACTGGTAAAGCGTTATTAAAGACTTTTGCTTGCATGCGTGCTTTATTAGAAGACTCCAAAACATTAGAGCTCCTAAACAAGTAAAAACATATATGTCCAAACAGCATCAAAAGCAAAACCATCAAAACCTCCCAACCTCTCGCGCCAAAACATCAATCCTCGCATATAAGTAGTTCAACTTCTTAAAAATATCAGGTGCAACACGTGCATCAAATTCTTTTCTAACTGAATCAACTCTACCATCTATTCTCAGACCAAAGTCACTAATCTTGGTCTCTACTGCATCTGCACTTTCGATGAAATCTTTTTCTGGATCTTCCCATATCTTGTCAGCGCAAGCAAGTAAAATGAGTATGATTAATGCTAAAAAGCCTACAATTCTGCACGAAGTCAATGCTACTCTAGCTGCCCTCGGTAACAGAGGTGCCGGCAAGATTTGTTGCAACAGCCTTTGGATCTGCAATCTGCATAACACAGAAAAATGGATACAAGAATATTATGTATGTAAATGTAAAAAAAACAACTTGAAGCTCGATAATCCAAACACATCGGATTCTGTGTAGAAAAATGGTCAATTAGAAAAATGGCCTCAACAACTTATTAAGTGGTGCTAATAAGGTATGAAAAATATGGTGTCACCTATGTACAATAAGATGATCAGGAACTAAGTTAAGAGTACACCAAGACAAATTAAGAAGACTCCTAAGGATCCCATGTAGTTGTTATCAATCAAAAATTGTGAACGATCAAGAAGTATGATGAGATTATTGCATGGGGGGCAGAATTATAAGAATCAAGAAAGGTAATAATCTTTGTCATTGGTTGAGATACAATATTGTATTGTAGGGAGAAAAGGAATTCAAATTACCTGCGCAAGCGAAAAATCTTCGTCATCGAGAAGTTTTTGACCAGGAACAATGAAGTCAACAGAACTGAGAAAATGCATCAATAAATATGATTAAGTTCAAATGCTGATTTCGCACAAGTTCTTTTATATAAGAACCAACACCTTAATTGTAAGCTAAAAGTTAAACGCATAGTTGTATGGTAGCTCAAAATTCATGAGGACATCAATCTCGTTAGTACACACCTAGTGAGGAAAGAGAATAAAAAACCAAACAACTCAATAATTAAAGGATAAAACTCAATAATTAAAGAATAAAATAATCAATCGCCGAATTTATCAATTATGGTAATTTACAGGTAAAGAAAGGTGTTGTGCTATCAATCACTTTAATGGCCACTGAAACACTATATGAAAGGATAAAACTCATCATGACATGCGAGTACAAATGAGACTTGAGCTTCTCGAATATCCAAACAGAGCCAATTTCCTCCATTATTGAGTATGCCAAAACCCTATAACAAGGATTACATGCGCCTAAACGAATAAATAAATGCAGTCATAATTGCACATGCCCTGAAAGTAAGACCATAGAACCGCAAAAGATAAGAACCCTAGTCATGCCCTTGTAACCTGAACTTTGTCCTCTTCCATGATCATTTCATGTGATAACTATAATTTAGGAAACAGAGCTACCCCGATACATATACTTATAAACTCTAACAACTAGTTTCCATTGGGTTCTTATGATAAATCTCATTGAACTATACTATACATCAGGAAAACACATTACACATATTTTCACCTCCAAAAAACTATACATTTTGACATGTCAAATTGTGCAAGACAAAGAAACATCATCATCATCTTAAACTCTGAATAATGTACAATGTGATTCCAAAAACAAAATTAGCACATGCCCAAAACATGTGCACAAGAAGCACCCAACTAAATTAAACCTTAATTACTAAAAGATAAAATTTAACCTTTCCGATCTTCACCTTCTTGTACGCAACGCAGCAGCGTTTTACCCCTTGAGAGAGAGAGAGAGAGAGAGAGAGAGTTGTTATTGTACAAAAAGAATTACAGGGAAAATGGATAGGATTTATTTGGAAAAAAAAAATCATGGGCGTAGATTTAGGTGCGTGCGAGGAAAAAACGCAGAATCTGGCACCTTTCACCAATTGGAGATACTTAAAATCTCCATTCCCCTTTAAACCCTTTAATTCCGGTAACTCACGCCATTTTCAGAGGGCTATTTAATTCTAATCTCACCAGTCACCAGTCACCCCATCAAACCCTGGAAACAAACCCTGAAATGCAAATCCCCGACTTGGATCTGTACGAGCTATCGGACGCTCGCCGCCGTGCCATCCGAGACCACGTTTACGAGAGGAGCAATGTCCGGGGGTGGAAGGAGCCGTTGTGGAGGCTTATGTTTCGAATGATTATCACGATGACGGGGATCTTCGTCTTCGCCCTGAGCGTCATGTTCGCAGGATACACAGCGTCTATGCACGTGGTATGGTGGTGGACCGGCCACGCGCCGATTTGCGTGGAATTTCCGAAGAACTCGACGGTCGCGTCGCGTTGCCTAACCCATCTGGAGAATCAAATCGGTCACGCCGAGATGAAAATTGATGAAAGCATCCTACAGCTCCGGCGAGATCTGGAGAAGAGGATGGCGGAGGAGTGGGGCGAGGTGGATCTGATGCTGGCGGATATGGCGCGCGTTCTGGATAGGCTCGCCCAGAAGCTTGATGATGGGTACAGGAAAGTGTCGATTGGGGTGGATTTTGATGGCGATTATGCGCAGGCGTCGAGGGGCGGGCGGGTTTTGAGGCATTCGGAGCCTGATGATGTGTTTTGGAGGTGGGTTTTGTGGTGGATATATCCGCGGATGGTTAGCGTTGAAGCGGATAAGATGATCAGTCCCAGTTTCGGTTTGCCAGGCCATTGTTTTGCTCTCAAGGGCACCAGCGGATTTGTCGACATCAGCCTCAGTGCTCCCGTTGTCCCACTAGCTGTCACATTGGAGCATCAAACTAAGGTACAGTTTTTTATTGCTTATAAATACCTAACCTTTTATATAATTGTAAATTAAACTCAAATAAATATTAAATCTTTATTACATGTTGCAAATTTATCTCCAAATTAATTTTCGGCCAAGTCTAGCCCGATCAGAAATCTCGTACGTGGCATTGATGAGGCATGCAGACCATTTTGTCAACATCATGTGTATTGAATTACAGTTGAAACCCTAAAAATACAAGAACACTGAATTTGAACCTCTTTACAATTGAAACCCTAAAAATGCAAAATAGAATTAGAATTTACCCGTTCACCATTGACGAAAGTTACGAAACCTCCAAACATCTCGTTTTTACTTTTTATTTTTTCAATTGGGCGGTGAACTCAATTTATGTGAATGAAGAATGGAGCAAAAACATGATTGAACTTGACTTTTGTTGGGTGAACTCGATTTTGGTTAGTTTGTTGGCATATGATGTGGCAAAAACATGTGTGATGAGTTTAAAAGGTTGAGTGTAACGCAAGCCTCATCAGTGTCTCGTGAGATTTTTGATCGGACACGACAACAAGGATAGGATTGGCCAGAAAATAATTTTGAGACAAATTTGCAACACGTAATAAAAGTTTGATATTTATTTGCGAAGATAAAAATGCTAAGTTTTATTTGGGATTATACAAAATGTGAGGATTTTATAGGCAATTAATCCCTTATTTTTTTGTTTGTTTATGGTTAGGAGTTACATTGATTTTTTGTTGGGTTGTTGTAACCGGTTTGGAATATGTCTAACCTTGCTTCTCTATACGTTAATTAATCTTTGGGGTGTCAAGTTTAAACATACGGAGGATATACAATGGAGAATGTTTCCTTGCCAGTTTTCCCTGCTTTTATTTGGAAATTGGACTTTCATCATTTACTAGTTATAATTGGGGTTTGTGCAACTATAGTTTCTCTTTTAATTGAGTGTTGATAGTAAATTTAGTGTCGGCATCTCTTTGGTCAAATATACAAATATAAATTTTTTTTGGATCATTCCTACAAGAAATTGTTTAAGTTCCTCTTGAACTAGACAGTGATAGGGCAAAGTTATTTCTTCCTTGAAAAGTCTGAAACTTCAACAAATTGTTGCCTATTGCTATGTACTGAGAGGCTATCAACAGGGGTGTATTATTTTTCCCTTCAAATTTCAAAGCTGTAGTGAGAGTTCAAAGTGCATTTTGAAGGTTTGCCTCATAAATGAAGTAACATGGGGATTTCCAGCCAAATATACATATTTTGTCAAAATTTAACTCAATAGCTGAAATATGCTAGTTAATCTTCAACCATAAGTGGTTTATTTTGGTACCAAGTAATGTAATTTGGGCGTTTCCGTGCAAGTTAGAGCCTATGAACTTTGTTTCCCTTTACAATTTGATTTGTATATAGGCGAACTTTGTTTTCACTTGCAATTAAATCAATATATGCACCAGGATTGTTTCCTGCTTGTTGCATTACTAATACTTGTTTTTATATGTGAACAGGGAACATCTGGTGATGATTGGCTAAATGCTCCCAAGCAATGCAGAGTTTATGGGTGGATGCAAGGCAAAGACCCGGTTGGAAAGTTTGTGCTGACCGTGTTTACGTATTATGTAGAGAAGGGCCACACATTTTTGGTGGTGCCCTCTATGCATGATGTTATGATCGATACAATTAGGTTTGAGTTCTCTTCCAACCATGGGAACCCATCTCATACGTGCATCTACCGGCTGAGGTTACATGGCCATGAGCAAATGGATTCTCCTAACTAGTGTTTTTAGTAGTTGTTCGTAGGAATTGTTTTATGTTATTTGAGAGACATGGCGTAAATTTCTAAACACTTGATGCTTTCCTGATATCGTTAATTTTCTCTTCAGTTTATTTGAATATGCTTCCCAGTGCTATTGTAGGTTGATCCAGTTTGTGAGACGAGGCGATCGAGACGAGGTGGTTCAACTGGCAATTTTAGGGAGCCTATATTTCGAGCACATCAAATTGCCGTCGTTTGAGGGACCTATCCCGATCTCTATCGGGGGGAGAAAAAAAAAAAGAAAAAAGAAAGAGGGCATGAGGACCTATCAACAACAGAAAAGGCCAACCCCACAAAATATTGGCACGAGCGCCTCCATCATTAAGCACTGAATCCTCCATGGTTCACTCCAAAAAACAGCCAGAATCGGGACCTCAGGATATGACCGTCCAAGGCGGCCAAAACGCCATGGTGGCGGCGGGTATGGCTTGAGAGGACGTTGGCTTAATTCCGGTCGAGGCTACAGTGGTTCTCGAAAAACTTGACCATACGCAACCTTACAGCCTCCCCACGACTTAGTGGGGCACGTCCAAAGGGGCTTCTGGCCTTCGGCGACAAGCATGCCCAGTCGCGCGATGTGCTCGGTTCAACCTGGATTGAATCAGTTTTTAGATCATCTAAGCGACATAGTTTTTTTCTTCAGCCCTGAATATTTCCAAAGAACCCACCCATGGCAGGCGAGCTTGGGGAACTCAAAACCACCAGAATTGGCTAACACACGCCCAAGTGGAGCAAATCTCTTGCGCCGATTGCTACATAAATCGGGAAAATTTGCGGGGAAAGAGAATATTAGTCTCGGTATATCGAGAAATCCATCCAATGACGGAAGGTTGGGCAAGCAACGGTGAAGGCCGACGTGAGTAGCCGTCGATTTTTTCGGTAACCTTTTTCCTGGGTCGCCGCCGCAAGATCTGCCAGGACATGGCAAGGTTCAGGTTCGTAAGGTCGCATTATGTTGAATGGACCATTTAGGCGAATTTACACTTATCTACATGATTAGGAAGAAATAACAGTTGTACGATTGTGCAAATCTTAATTGCATCTTTATAAATTCTATGTTAATTAATCGTAAAGATGCACCAGATCAGTTTTCAAATAAAATGCAACCCCTCCCCCCTNAAACACGTATTCTTTTTTTTTTTTTTTCGAAACGATAAAGATATTATATAACGCGCACAAATGTGCAAAAGGCCAGCCACCAGCTGAATACAAACAGCCAACAGTTGAAAAAGTGGGAGGACAGGTCAAAAGACCGCCTAGAATCGACCCCAAAGGGGTAATACACGGAAACACAAAAAAAACACTACTATTTCAATTATGCTTTTTTTAAACTGCACAGCTTATGCTTTTTTTCAGTTAAACAAATAAATAATAATAATCATAGATGATAAGATTATATATCCTCCAAAATAGGATACTATTTCTCTACAAAATAGAAAGAGAAGGAATTTGAATCTCAAACTCCATCATCTTCCAAATATATACAAACCGTCCGATCGTTAATATTCTTTCATGTTGATGAATAGAATCTGAAAAATATACGACTTCAAACAGGTATATTTACATGTCGACAACTATTTCATTTTTTTTTATCATTTCATAGCATTGTTTTTTATTGTGTTTATTAACCGTATATGTTTTATTTTTTTAGATGGAGACACCACTGATGATTTTGGGTAAAATACGTGTGCGCATTTTGGCCCTGTGTTTTAAAAAATGCACCAGACTCCCTTATATTTAAGTAATTGTTGCACGGTTCTCCCATTCCGTCGAACTTAACGGCACGTGTGAGGCACCTTCTCCAGCTGCGAGAATTGTTCAATTTTTTTTTTTTTGCAAAATTATTAATTTACATTTATACCCTCCTGAATTTTATTGCGAAAGCTAAAATTATATTAAGTGTGGAAAGGAGGAATAGAACCAAGGTTTCAAGGATAGGAAATGCCCAACACAGCCACTAGGCTACAATAATACTTGTGTAATCTAATGAACATAAATATATTTATAATATGGTACGGAAATGAAATAAATAAAATAAAAATAGAGTAAATAAAATGAAATAAAGTATAATAGGTAAATTTAATATAAATTAAGTAATTTATAACAATAATAATAACTTGCAATAAATTAAATTAATATAAAAATAATGAAAAAAATTAAATTTTAATAAAGTAAGATAAAATTTGATTTGACCTATTATAGTAGCAACAAAATAACAAAAATCAATTTACTAATAGCAGGAGGGTAAATTAGGAACAATAGACTTGGGAGAATCATTGTAAGATGCTATATCCGGATTTTCGGGAAACCGAATAGTCACGTAGAAGGCAACTCTATCAATCAAGCAAAACAATATGACACCAAAAAAAAAAGAAAAATCTTATTGCACCTTTATTGCTACGATTACAGCTCTTTACAGGAAATAAAATTGCCGTCGCGACAAGTTTCGGAGCCCGAATTATACCGACCGACGCATGGTGTAGCTTTTGAACAGGGGTAAAAAAAGTGCTCGTGAACAAGTGGTACACCGTCGGACGCGTGAAAGGTGAGTTTTTTTTTGTTTTTGTTTCTATACATTTTCAGTGATAGCAGTTGCATTGGCTCAGAAAAATTGAAATTTTTTACAGTCATATTTGGGAAAAGAGCACATTTTAGTTTCTTAATTTTAGCGAAGTTTATTTTTTATGCCTCTGCTTTTATTCGAATTTGTTGCGTTTATTCTGAGGAGATTAAATTTAAGTTTGTTAATAAGATATTCACTAAGCACGTCTTTAAAAAAATCCAAACATTTTCCATTACTCTCTGAAGCTTAGTATTTTTTATATATATATATATAATTTTTTTTTAATGAATGCTTAGAAATTAAACTTCATTTTCTATTTTAGAATAAGTTAGTGCTTCCTTTAATGCTGATATGTAGGACATGTGCAAAAAATCATAATATTTTGTTTAATTTTTATTTCAAGTAATTTTTGCTTGATTAACAATTTGAGAGTGGTGCTATTAGTATGTAGTATATGCTTCGTGTTGCATTATATTGTGCTAATTATATGACAACTTGTTGCAACTTATTATTTTTTATGAACTTTATGTTTTAGAAATTTGAAAATTTTGAAATTTAGGCCAATATAAAAATAATAAAATACAAATATTGATATTTATATTTGCATCCTTTCATTATATTTTGTTATTTTAAACTCGTTGAACATTAGCATATAGAATATGCTACTTTTGCATTCTATTGTGCTAATTATATGGCAACTTGTTGCAAGTTATTATTTTTTATGAACTTTATATTTTAGAAATTTGAAATTTAGGCCAATATAAAAATAATAAAATACAAATATTGATATTTATATATGTGTCCTTTGATAATATTTTGTTATTTTCAACTCGTTGAATATTAGCATATAGAATATGCTACTTTTGCATTCTCTTGTGCCTAATTATATGGCAACTTGTTGCAACTTATTATTTTTTATGAACTTTATGTTTTAGAAAGCCAATATAAAAATAATAAAATACAAATATTGATATTTATATCTGCATCCATTCATAATATTTTGTTATTTTCAACTCGTTGAACATTAGCATATAGAATATGCTACTTTTGCATTCTATTGTGCTAATTATATGGCAACTTGTTGCAACTTATTATTTTTTATGAAATTTATGTCTTAGAAATTTAAAATTTAGGCCAATATAAAAATAATAAAATACAAATATTGATATTTATACTGCATCCTTTCATAATATTTTGTTATTTTCAACTTGTTGAACATTAGCATATAGAATATACTACTTTTGCATTGTATATAGAATATAATTTCAGCTTGTTGAACACTATGAGATTGATTATATTAGTATATAGAATATGCTACTTTTGTATTGTATTGTGCTAATGTTATGTCAAGTTGTTGCATATTACCTTTTTAGATAAACTTTATTCTTTAGAAATATTAAAACCTTGCTTCATGGATTTTTTTTACCTCTAAAATGTTGGTAATATGAATAAAATTATATTTGAGATATTTTGTATTTACTTATGCTAGATTTTCCCCTACATGAAGTAATAAACTTTATGAATTTGTTCTTGAACACATGTTATTTCTACTTTTTTGCGAAGGTAATTCAATGGTGAACTACGAGCATCATGGTGAACCATATGTAGCTGAAGAAATTATGAATGAAGCCAATGACATCGAAGTTGAAACTGTGGGTGGTGGTGCAACATATGAAGTTAATAATGACGAAAGTGGAGATGAGTCGGATAGTGATTATTCGGATAATGATGAGGAACAACAGGTTTACGATAAACTCAAAAGCAGAACTTGCCCCCAAGTGTTGCTAATGAGGAACAACAGGTTTACGATAAACTAAATATATGTAGTGTGATTATAGTTTATTATTTCATTGAACTTAAAGGTAAAAAAAAAAAAATCATTTATTAACATATTTTCAAGTTTTCACACACCTCACTAGAGCTGTGCACAACTCAACTAAAACTAGAGCTGGAGGTCGGTTCGGTCCGGAGATCCAAAAATATCCAGAACCGAACTGAACCGAACTTCGGAGATCCCAAAAATTAGATCTCCAGAACCGAACCGGTTTCAAGAAATTCCTATTTGAAACAAAACTAAATTTTTTTCCAGTTCGGTTCAGTTCGAAGATTCAAGTCTGATGGGTCCGTTCGATATGGATCAATTATTCGGGAGATTTTAATATAAAAAAAATATTGTTGCACATCTCATAATAAAATATGTCCAACGCTAAACTAACAATACAAGGTAAAACTTTAGCATATTGAGATAGACAAACAACACATAAACGAGTCCAACAACTTCAACATACTCCATTAACAAGAAGTAAACTAGCAAAATATTCACAAGTTACAATTTCAAATATAAGATCAAAATGAACAAAACGACGTCTCATCATTATTATTTTGTTTCCCGGAACGATAGAGAATTTTATAAATTAAAACGCACAAAGTGCAAATATACAACCCTTAGTTGAATAAAACAACCAACAACTGAATAAACTGTGAGGACAGGTCAGAAGACAGCCTAAATCCGACACTAGCAATGCTAGAAACTAGAACAAGACTCATGACACGACCAATACGACAAACACTAATAAAAAAACTACAAAACTCCCAAAAAGTAAATAGAAACAATCCCAAAGGGATAATCGCACATATGCCAACGGCCCAAACTAAAAACACGAAACAAAAACAATACTAACACGACCAACACAAAACGAACGAAAACGTAAAAAACTCTATAATCAACAGACAAAGCCCTTCCCCAGCATAACGGTGTAGCCCTGGGTATGGCACACCCATAGGAATGGCAACGGTTGGTCTAATAGGGGAAGGAGGAGGAGTGATCTCCTCAGCTTCAGAATCAGTCTTGTCGCTAAGTTTCAAAGGTCGACGAGGAGGACGAGAGGTGGCGGAGGAGCAAGGACGGGCCCCCCTGATTTTTTTTTTAAATTTAATATATATACTATAAAATATGTACAAAAGACATTTACATTATATTGATAACTAAAACTTATTAAAAATCAATATATGTAAAAAATACTATAAAATATGTATAGAAATGTAAAAAAATTACAATATATTAATAAGTAAAATTTATTGCACGTGCTATTTTTATTTTAATTAATATTATAATTTATATATTGAAAAATGTACTGACAATCCTTATATTTAAAATTTCTGGATAAGCTTTTGAATTTATAATGATTTACTCTTTCGCTCTCTTAATTGTAAATTGATTTAGTGATTTATAAAATCGAGTATTTACTCTTTTTTGTGTAATAAAAAATTATTAACTTTATTTATTTTTTCTTAAAAAAATGTTAATTTGATAAGCTCTCATCAACAGAAATGCTATGCAATATGGTGCAAAGTTCAATTTAAATCAAGTTTCAACAAAAAAACTTATTTTCTATAAATTATAGATGTTGCTTAATTATAAATCCATGAAATCTCGTTTTTTTTATTTGTTTAAAAGGATCGAGAGTGATACGGATTCAAAGTTTTTAAAAACTTGATAGTACACGTATCTATATTCATATTTATAGTAAATACATTTTTTATATGAAACGAGTGTTTCGACTAAAACTACAAGCTCATTATTTAACATTTTAAATCGGGCCCCCCTGAGTAAAATTTCTAGATCCGTCACTGCGAAGGAGGGATTGACTCGGGAAGCAGTGGGGACAGTTTTGACCTCACCAGAAGAAAAGTTCGAAGGAGAAATCTGGGGAGTAGGAAAATGGGAAGAAGGTAGGGGGCTCATATCACGACCAGAGTGGCGGTCGCCATCACTTGAAGTCGTGAAATCTGAAATGGACAAAAAAAAAAGAGCAAAAGAGGAAAAGATTCAAAGATTTGGAAGAAAAAGGCAGATGGCAAGGGATTTGCGACATATTCAAGACGGAATGAAAGAGAAAATGCAAAAGAAAACACGGATACATTCTAACATCCAAACCGCAATTAAAATAAGAAAGGAAAGAAGAACTTACGCATTGTCCCTGGTGATGGCTAGAGAAGTAAAACTTTCGATGGACAGGAACAATTCAGGCGGTCAAACATCTGAGCACGGTTGGATCTTAGTTGAGAGCAAAGAGATAGAAGGAATTTGCTAAAGAGAGAATTTTTTGCAAAGGTGAAAAACCCTACACGATCGGTCAAGACAACCTTTTATAGAAGGCGCTGGAAAAGCAGATGAAGGGGTCGATGGATTTAGACCGCATGATCAAGGCATGAAGAACAAATTAGATCAAATGGGGCAGATGAGAGGACAGTTGAATCTAGCCGTTGGTGTAAAGTGTAGATGGAGGGACAGGATTAATTGTGCATTTAATGAGGTGCATTGCACAAGGCGCGTACGAACTGTGAAGCGCTAAAGAACAAGACGCTTAGGCTGATGCATGCACGTGGCAATGCGGTAGTTTGACGAGATGGGTTCGGACAGGTGGTAATAGGTGCAGACATGTGGCGAGGTTTTGAAATTCAAAATTTCAAACAAAAAATACAACTGGGAGAAAATAAAATTAAAAGGCGACATTAATCAAAGAGCCGAAAGGAGGTCGAGAAGCAAAGAACATGCAAATTCACTCTTGGATCAAGTTATTCCGACTCGACCAGAATGGGAAGACTAGATGATATGGGATAATCATAAGTTATTCCGACTCGACCAGAATGGGCAGACTAGATGATATGGGATAATCATACCTGGTTGACTAGACCGGAGAAATAACCAAACCAAACAGATATGATCATCGAGTCGAAGGGAGAAAGGAGAATTCTCAGGTCGAAAGATCTTCTGGTCGAATAAGGCACTAGAGGCCAGAGGATACCAAAAGGTGAATAGGGGTTTTTGGAGGGCCTAATCGAAGGTCACTGGAAGAGACATCTGGTCGAATGATCGACCAGATGGACAGGAAAACAACGTCCACTGCCGATGACATCCTTGCTCAAGGAGGTCAAGTCCGATCAGGCCACCTAATGAGGATAGCTTATAGATAATGAGGAATCTTAGGGGAATTAAACCCTTCACATGGGTAAAACCAATTGGCGCCACCCGAGTAGTCCACACCGTATAACCGTCTCTGATAGTCCGGATGACTTTGACAGCTCTGACAACCGAGGCTGCTCACGCGCCCGACTTGGGCCCTAAGTTATCTTCTCCCTATAAAAGAGAGTGAGATATGTCTAAAAACTTATTGCATTCTCTATTATATTGCAGAAAAAACTTTTTCTCTCTGCACTTCATCTTCTGCACTTACTCATTTAAGTATTTGAGGCTCTTCACCAGAGACTCCTCTGGTGTGAGAGTTCTGCATGAACGTTCAACCGACAACCAGCTCGAGATCCAGGCTTTCCAACTCGTTCTAGCCGGTCGGAGGTCTTTTTGATATCAAGTGGAGAGTGTAAAATGTCCATTTTGTACTTACTTAATGGTCAAATGTATATATTTTATCCCAGTATATTCACTTATTTACGTTATTGCCACTGCATGTTCGGCCATTGTTTACAAATTTTGACTTCACCATAACTATTGATATAATTGAACTCATGGTCTAAATTTATTGTTATTTCTTTTACTATCTTTTTTTCTCATTTGAACCCATTTAATATATATATATATATATATATATATATATATATATATGTACATGTCAAGTTATTAATATCTTATGTGAATTAAGTAATGTGCATTATATCTTATATTATTGTAAGTAAACTTGATCCATATGATTTATCTACTTTATAATAGAAGCTTAATATTACTTTGTTTGTGATATATATTATTTATATACTTAATTTATAATTTAATCATAATATTACTTTTATGGGTGACTATTCGTTAAAATTAGTTAAACTGTGTTTGGTAAAACCAACCTAATTTGCTTACGAAAATCAGCCTAATTTGTGTACGAAAACTAAATGGTGTGTTTGATATCAAATATCTCATTCATACTCAAATCTAACTCAACTTTAACTCAAACCCAATATTCTCAATATTATCAATATAATTAAATAATACCAACTAATCATTCTTGCACATCAACTTTAATTTACTATTCATCCACTCACGTAATTCTAACTAACTATCACTAGTGTGTACCCGTTGCGATGCACGGGACAAAGATATTAAATAAGATATTTTAATAGGCTTTGTCCGTTTAAGTCTAAAAAATTAATAGGATTATCATCTATTTTTCACCTCTTTTAATCAGCGTTGTGTTTTTAGCCAGAACATTAAGTATGAACATGTTAGGGCTAACTTGTAAAATAATTAATATATTATCTCACTAACACATTTATGCTAATATAAATTTTATTTTAGTATATATATTTATTCATTGATATAAGAGAAAATAACAGTTTTACTTATTCTTGTTCACCATATAGTATTTAGTTATGATTTTATTATAAACTTTGATGTCATATAATGTCATTATTATTTATAAAAATTATAGAAGTTGTATGTCTTCTTTTTCTTTTTATTTTAGTAATAAAAAATATTTAATGCACATTAGTCTTATCTAATTTATGTAATCAATTTAAAATATGAAAATAATTTTAAAAATAAATAGTGTATAAGTATTTTATAAAATATACACACATGATTTTTTAGAATTTAATTTTGTATAGTAATTAAGAAAATCTGATTTAGCAAATGTCAGACCAAAATATTATCATCATGGATCACGGAAAATCAATCTTGTAATTTATTATAATGGATATCAATGAAATTATTGCAGATATTAATAAAATTATTTAAGGAAACAATATTTTGGTCATATCTGATTTGATCTTATTTGAAAACGTGTATATAGAAGCAATTAATGCATATATTTAAAAAATTTTCAAAAAAATGTATCATTAAATGCTACCAAAAATTTTTACTACTTTTTTTAGTAATTTTTTATTTTTATTATATATATATATNACAACATAAACGAAGGAAAGTAACTTAAAAAGAGGCGTGTAAAGTGTAAAATGTAAAGAAGGAAAAGGAAAACGAGATCACCGGCCCCAAATTTTCGTTACATCTATCCGGCAAGATTCGATCTACTAACCACTCCAAATCACTGCCTCAGAATGGACGTCTTACAGAATGAAGGCACCACCGTTACTCGCCGCCAAAGGGCTGATCAAACCCTAGTGGACGGCAATGACGCGTCTAAGATAAAGATAAACCCCGAAGAGGTTCTGTGGGAGGCGGCATATCGTGCCTGGAGAAAGGAACTCAAACGCGAGAAGAGGTCAATCGGCGTAGCTGCTTGTAAAATCGTGGCAATCGTGGCTATATTCTTTATTTCGTGGTATCTGGCGCATTGGTACACGGAACCCAGAGAGTTTCGCCCCGAGAAAACCGGGATCGACCCGTTTGATGCTTTGAGAGCCACAGATTCCCAAGTCGACATAATTGACGGCAAATTTGGGGATGGAATTAATAGGGTCGTGAATGAATTTGACGGGAAATTGGAGAAGAAAAGGCGGGAAATCAGGATGAGATTGAATGACTTGAACAAGAGGGCTTATGTTTTGGAGGATGTTATTGGCCGCTTGAGGAGTCGGGAAATCGGAGGCTCGTACGAGGAATTGAAAAGGTTTGATGACAGAAGTGACGATGACGGAAGAAAATCTTGAGGTAATCAGTGATCACTAGCTCTTGATTTTTTGTTTTATCTGTAATGGTGAAGTGTTTGATGGGGATATTATCATGCTTTATTTTGTTAGTAAGTTAATTGGCTATCTTGTCAATGGTAGTTGTTTATTGAAAAACTTCCTTCTTATTCATGAGCAGTATCATGTCGTTTCTGTAAAGATATTCGGAACATACTTGATTATGATGATGGCTTAGTAAGTTTTGTGTGAGGTTTTTAGATGAATTATGAGTTTTCTTGGACCGAGGTCACTTGTTAAGAAGCTAAGAATGCAACGTCAAGACAGAGTTAAAGATTTGGTAAGTGTATGTTTTTATTCAAATTGCAGCTAAGATTGAGTGATGTTAAAAAGGTTCAAGGATGAGGGAAACATACCCTTACCAAATCTTAACTAATTTTATTCAAATTGCATATCCCAGTGTAGATAGTGCCATGGTGTTATAAGGAGATTGGTGAAGACAATTGCAATGAATGATTTTTTTATTTTTTTTTTTAATCCGATTAGCAATAGCATTTTTATTGTCCTTTTTTTTTGGTGTTCTATACCTACTAGTACGTACCTCGTGCGATGCACGTGACATAGTTATTAAATGAGTTATTTTCACAGTCTTGTCCGTTTAAGTCTAAAAAATAATAAGGTTATTATCTATTTTCTACATCTTTTAATCAACGTTAAGTCTAAAAAACAATAAGGTTATTTATAAGTTTTTTTTCCACATCTTTTAACCAGCGTTGTTTGTTTAACCAGAATATTAAATATGAGCATGTTAGGGCTACCTTGTAAAATAATTAATATATTATCTCACTAAGACATTTATACTAATAAAAATTTAATTTTAGCATATAAATTTATCATTTGATATAAGAGAAAGTAACAGTTTTACTTATTGTTGTTCACCATATAATATTTAATTATTATTTTATTATATAATAAAAATGAATACTGTTAACTAGTGTAGTAGAATTGTTATAAAATTATATGAATTATTTTTTTTACAATATGGATTTAATATCTTTTTATGATTTGATAATATAAACAAATTTATACTTACCTTTGACTTTTCCAGCAAAGGTAAAAAAAGTTGGTTCTGGTTTTTATCTCATACCAAATCTTTAATGTCAAGCCTATAAATACCAAAAATAAATCTGTAATTAATTTCATTCTATTTCCAGCAAGCATTAATTACCTTTTGACTTTTCTGCTTACTATTTGTAATAAATAAGATGCCTTTTTATATAAGTATAGACTAGCGAGAATCCCGTGCGGGGTTTCCGTACTTTAGAACTTTTTTTTTAAACTTTGTTTTCACAATATGTATATTAGCATGCTAATATTTTAACATATATATTTATTTTTTAATACAAAATAATAATAATTTTACATATTTTGGTTCATCATAATACTCAATTATTAATCTATCAAAAAATCTACTATCATATAATGTTATTATTATTTGTAACACTTGTAGAAGTAATATATTTGTTATATAATGATGAATATGTAATGTATATTAATATTATTTATTGATGTAATTAATTTAAAAAGATATAAGCAAATTTAATATTTGGTAGGAATGTGATTATATGTAAGTTGAGATAAAATGAAATGTATCAAAAAAATCTGCTTATGATATTTTCCTTTAAATGTTTAAATGAATTTGAAATTTAAATTACAAATCAACCTCCAGTTATTCATATAATTTTAAATAAGTTATTATAGTAAAATGGACGTGACAATATATTATAAATATACATGACATCAGTAATGTTATGAATCTTTAGGTTCCTAAAATATATATTGTTTAGATATGAAACTAATTAACTTATATGTTAAGATAATATATATAAATATATGTATTGTACGAAATATACACGTGACAAGTTATTATATTTGTTTATATATTGTATTTATTGTTTATTATATTTGTATATAAATATATTGTTTATATATTTGTCTGTATTGTACGAAAAATTGTTATATTTGTTTATATATTGTTTAAATATATATTGTTTAGATATGAAACTAATTAACCTATATGTTAAGATAACATATAAAAATATGTATTGTATGTAATCTTAAACGTGTTTGCTAAATTTTTTTCCTAAAAAATTTAAAATACATTTAGGCATGTTTAGTTTGAAGTTTGAAATTTAAATATGCATCTTCCATTCCACCCTCCCTCCGGCACTAGGGGTGTTCACGGTTCGGTTTTAACCAAAAAAAACCGTCAATCCGGATCGCGGATTGGTTAAATGGTCAGTTAAAAAAACCTTAAAAAATTCGGTGGTTAATTTTTTTAAAAATCCAGAATAACCGGTCCGATTAACGGATTACCTGCGGCAAACCGCCGGTTTAACCGGATCAGACCAGTAAATAATAAAATACTATAACATATATATATATATATATACATTCAGTCATTCATTATGGCCGACAAATACAATACATTCACTTTCACTTTTTGGCCTTTTTTTGACTTGGCTCTTATTATTTCACTGAAAAATAAAATATATAAATTGACTTTGCTTTTTATGGCCGACAAATACAATACATTCACTTTGCTTTTATTATTTCAGGTGTATAAACTGACTGAAAAATGAATGCTTGCTTGGGTTCAGTTTGCATAATTTAATCTTCATCATTTTTGTATTTTTATGTTTATAGGATGAAATGTGTATTTTTATGCTTATGAGACGAATTGTGTATTTTTTATTTCATTATTGTTGTTTTTCTTAATTGTTAGGCCCAAATAATCTCTTTTGGGCCCAAAATTGAAGAATAAAAATTAAGCCCAAAATGAAAAAAATAAAAACTGAAGGCCCATAAACAAAGATTTTGGATTTAACCGGTTAACCGCCAAATCGGGCCGTCCAATACGGTCCGGATTGTGGTAGGTTAAAAAATAAAATCAGTCCGGTTATGGACAAGAAAAAAAATAACCGTTAAGTCCGATTTGATCATGGTTTGGACTAAAACCTGAACAATCCGGACCGTGAACACTCCTATCCGGCACAGTAAACTCAGCCACCGTAGAGAAAAGCAAATTCTCTGTTACCGGGCCTGTCGCAAGTTTAATAAACGTCGTCTCACAATTCAGCCACCTGTCCCACCAAAACCGAATTCGATGACCATTCCCCACCGACAACCTGCCAGTGTCGCCTTCCAAACATCTCTAATCGCCCGAAGAACCGTCGACCCTTGGGGAAACACAAAGTCTTTGCCCATCTCCAACGGGTGCAGCGCACAATTGGCCCAAAGCACCCTCCACCAAAGTAAATTCGGCTCTTTCAACAAGCTTCAGGCTAATTTCATAAGTAAAGTTCGGTTCATAAGTCGTTGGTCTTTCATCCCCAATCTGCCCTCCTCCTTTTGTCTACACACTTCCGACCAAGAGACCAGGCTAATTTTCCGAGTTGTATCTGTACCACCCCAAATAAAATTCCAACCTGCCAACCTGCAAAGAGCACAAAGTCGTCTGGGCTAAAGTTACCCTGCCCGTCATAGAAAGAGTCGTAGCCTTCCAACCTGGCAATCGTTTTTCTGCTTTCTCTAAGATATCAACGTATGTAGACTCAGTTACACGACTACGTATCATAGGCATTCCCAGATACTTGCCCAGATTATCAACAATCTTAAGGCCCAATCGCTAGGCCGACGAGAGCCGAGCCTCTACCATGATATTAGAGGAAAAATAGACTTAGTGTCTTTGGTTCACTCACTTTTAAACCAGAGGCCACGCAAAAAGTCTGCAGGATAACCTTCAGATGATTTGCCTGGACCGAGTTTGCTTCTATAAACAAGAGCAAATCATCAGCAAACATTAAATAAAGAATCGATACATGCCTTCTCCCCATCGTAAGCAGTTTCCAATCGCCACTCGCCACAGAAGCATCAATCATATGAGCCGGCCTCTCAATGCGTAGGACAAACAAATAGGGGGAGATTGGGTCACCTTGATGAACTCCATGGGATGGCTTAAACTCCTCACTAATGACACCATTCCACTGCAGCTGCATGGAAGCCGACGTAACACATGCCATCACAGCATCGACAAAAACCCCCGAAAGCCCTACAAGCTCCAGAGTTTCTCGAATGAAATCCCACTGAAGATAGTAATAAGTCTTCTCCAGATCCACCTTGACTACCGTAAACCCCCTCTTCCCCTTGATCCCGTGCATCGAATGAATAAGCTCCTGAGCAATTATAATATTGTCGGTAATATGCCGGCCCGGAACAAAGCTCGCCTGAGCTGGGTTGATAATTAAGGGAAGTATGGACTTTATCATTTCTGCGAATACTTTCTGTAAACAGCTTGTAAACAACGTTGAGGAGACTAATGGGCCAGAATTGCTTTAAGGACATCGGATTGAATCTAATTTGAACATGTTATAAGAGATATGTCATTAGGATTTTAAACCTTATAAATCATATATTCAAAAAATAAATTTATATCCTACAAAATATAACATCAGTAAGAATTCTCAGTTGGATTGGAATATAACAATTTATGACCCACCCCTAAATTTTTAACCCTGACGACTTTACTAGTGGTCGTGTCCCTTTTTGTCTAAATGTCCAGATTATCTTGATGCTAAGGTTAAATTGTTATGACATATCACAATTCTACATCTCATTGTCAAAGATAACTGTACATGTAGCAATACTCATACTCATTTCAAATTGTGCAGCTTACTTATATATTCCATCTGAAATAAAATATATATAAGAAAAAGAATTTCTTACCTTATATCTCAATTCCTTTAAAATGAATTAATATAAAAAAATATATATCTTTTTAAAAAATAAAAAAATAATCCCTCTTAGCTTGCACCTAAAAATCCCTAAACAATTTGCGGACTTGCTCTAGAGTGACAAACAGCACCACCGTGAAGGGCCCTTGTCTCGAAATCGTCGGAATAAACCCTTTGTAGAGAGCCAACGGCCCCTCCGCCCTTATTGTCTTCACCGCGCAGTCCACCGCC